TTATGGGAATTCTAACATGTGCCCTTTTCATTAAAAGTAAAACATGGAGAAATCAGTTGAGGTTTGATTGAGTTTTAAAATTGTCTCATTTCTTGCAGCTGATGCATGGAAAAAGTGGTTTATCTTAATTAGATTTGAAGGAATTTAGACTTTCAGGATATGTCTGATGTTGACAATAGAGCCTATTTATGTATTTGTTTCCTTTTTTCTTGTCTACTCAGGAAGATGATAGTGCACTTCTACGTTTCCTACAATGCAAATTTGGGAAAGGACCAGAAAATGGTCCTGAGTTCTTCTATGATCCTAAGTATGCTTTGCGTCTTTGCCTCAAGGAAAAACGAATGCGTGCATGTGTTCATATATACAGCATGATGTCTATGCATGAAGAAGCAGTTGCTCTTGCCCTACAGGTGAAACTAATATGATGGTTGTTGTGTTACAACTTTACCACTGCTTTAATACAAAAAAGGTGCAACCTAATTAGAATACATGCTTTGCTAATGTTCTACATTGGTGATATTTTTCACCTGTAGTTATATCTTATGGGGATGCTGCAAGAGCAACCAATTGTAACACGGATGCTTTTATTCTTTATGCAATAGAAGTCTTGAGCTAAGGAAAATTCATTGATGAGGCCCAAAAGTGCCTTCTAGCGGGGATTTTTCTTCCCTTTCTCATCCCTTCTCCGTTGTGTCTTGGAAAAAGTTAGTGGCCTTGTAGAATATTTAGTTCTATTTTGAAAAGTAGTTCAACATATCAGTTAGAAGTTTTTCAAATCTTCAACATTTTTAGATCCTAACAACGAAATAAAAATAAGCCTTTAAATATTTTGAAGGGATTTTATTTTTTCATTTTTTTTAAAATAATTATTTCATGCTAACTCACTTTTCTATACTAGGTTGATTCAGAGCTTGCTATGGCTGAAGCTGATAAAGTTGAAGATGATGAGGATTTGAGAAAGAAGCTCTGGCTCATGATTGCCAAACATGTTGTTGAACAAGAAAAAGGAACTAAGAGGGAAAACATAAGGAAGGCAATTGCATTTCTTAAAGAAACTGATGGCCTGCTAAAGATTGAGGATATATTACCATTCTTTCCGGATTTTGCCCTGATTGATGACTTCAAGGTACAGTTGTTTTTGCTCTGATTTTGTCATCTTGATTGACAATTTTCAACTCTGATCAATCAATTTATCTATCAATACTTACTAGCTCAATTTTTTTTTCCCCTGCTGACATTTACATATAATATTCTTTTTCAAATATTAACTAAATGTTACATGTGAAGTCATTTGTCTACATGCCTTAGATAATTGGAATAAACTTCCATTGGTGAATTTGTCTAAATTTATGCAGGAGGCTATTTGCTCATCATTGGAGGATTACAATAAGCAAATTGAAGAGCTGAAGGAAGAGATGAATGATGCAACCCGTGGTGCTGACAACATCAGAAATGATATCAGTGCACTTGCTCAAAGATGCACTATTATTGATCGAGATGAGGAATGTGGGGTATTGCTCTTCCTGATATGTTTGACAAAACTGCACATGCAGTTTTTAAATTGTGTAGTTGTTTACTTTTGTATTAGTGTACCATAAATAGGTTAAGATCAATCTGTTTTCGTTCTTCTGATTTCATATGCAGAATCTATGCCCTCATTTAAAATGATTTTAATCTGACTCCCTAGGTATGTCGGCGGAAAATTCTAACTGCTGGCAGAGAGTTCGGCATGGGTCGTGGTTTTACATTAGTAGGACAAATGGCTCCCTTTTATATCTTTCCATGTGGACATGCCTTTCATGCACAATGCCTGATTGCCCATGTGACTCGTTGTACAGTTGAGGCTCAAGTAAATATACTACCTTTTTCTCATAATTGTCATCTCATTTTGACTATTTCCCGTTATGCTACCTGAGAGTTTATTGTTTTCAGAAGTCTCTTCAATAATAATAATAATCAAAACCATTAAGTTGTTTTATTCAAAGTAAAGATACCAGTGAATTGCACATTGTTTCAGATGAGTTGAACACTGATGTGAGTGTGAGATGCCAATGTAACGTTAACAAAGTTGAAAGGATACGATTATCAGATTTTTAGATGCCAATGCAAAAATCGGAATAGGATCATTTTAAATGTTACATGCAGCAATTTGTTACTACATTGGTCATAAATTGACAATTTTGTGCTACATCTTAAAGAAAGAAGTTGTATTGATTAATTTTATTCTCAAGTATAGTTCTAATTGTCAGAACCTCGTTTGCATGCTGTCAAATCAAAACGTTGTTGTCACCATCTCAAATCAGCATATTCTTATTATTTTCAATACTGCCATTCGGATTGAATCTGTTGGGAAAATGTTGCAGGCTGAGTATATACTGGATCTGCAGAAGCAACTTACTTTAATGGGCAGTGAAACAAGGAGAGAATCCAATGGTGCCCTTTCTTCAGAGGAGTCCATTCGTAGCATGACCACCGTAGACAAGGTTTGTACAGAACTTTCTTTCATGCACCAGGTTACATGTATCAGCAGGTGACGGGATAAATTTGTTCCTTGAAATTGCATTTTTCTTGCATTGAAATTTAGGCTTCGAATTCCTTTTCTTTTGTTGACAACTTTGACTTTTGAGTTTTCATTTCGTTTGCATTGAGCATGTAATAATTCAGTGGTCTATTACGTATACTTTAGCTGCTGGAATTGTTCTTTTTACAAGCTTATATGTAATTAATAATTATTAAGTTCATTAAACATGAAAAAAATTATGTGTCAGCATCTTGGACAGAGAGTCAACCTGGTGTTTTTAGAATCAATTTCTATCAGTGTTAAAATAGTTTTTATTCAATTGAAGTCACGTTTTACAAATACAAATTAATTTTTTATTATCAATTTTGAAGTAATCAGTGGATTATATCTATAAAAAAAAATAATAATAAAATCTTGGTGGGCTTTACATTGTGGTGTTATATGCTTGTATTTTGAGGGATATGAACTATGCTGAATAGCTTATGTCAAATTATGTGCAGCTCCGACAACAACTGGATGATGCTATAGCTAGTGAGTGCCCATTTTGTGGCGACTTGATGATCCGTGAGATTTCTTTGCCCTTTATCCATCCCGAGGAACAGCAGCATGTGCTATCTTGGGATATCAAACCAAACGTTGCAAGCCAGAGAAATATCTCGTTACCTGCATGAGTTTCTATATGCTAGCTTGCGTTGTGTGAATAACATTGCTATATACAAGACTATTGTCCCTGTTCCTTGCAGTGTGTAGAATCCATATTGTATTTTTTTTATTTACATTTTGTTATGCGGTCGGCTCTGGTTTTCTGATTGCCTAGGAATTTGTTGCCTCAATCGCCACTGTAAATCATGTACCCTGTTGCAACTTACGGTTGCCTCCATTTTTGTTCCTGGGAGGCATTGTCGAAAGTTTATTTAATTTCTTATCTATATAGTGTTCTTCGTTTCTTTTACTGAATAAAACTTGCATCAGTTGCGTGCAATTTTTTTACGTGTTTTGATACTATTATTTAATTAAACTACAATGCATCTCAATAATCTATATTGATGTTTAATGTAGATTTTTATTACATAAATCATCAAAATAAAACTTAAAGATCAAAAGCACCCTTTTAAAATGCACCCACTTTCTCTTTATGCCAAATATGTGCTCAAGTGAAAACAAGGAAGTCAGACCCTGACTGCACCTTGCATTCAAATACAAAGTGATCAATCATCATTTAATTATTAATCTTATTTTAATTGATGCCAGAATTAGAACACTGACTTTGCTAAATTTTAGGCCTTGGTATCATTTATAAAAATTTATTGTACTTGGACTTTTTTTAAGCACACTCAAGTCTTTGAAGGAACTCAAGGTGGTAAATGTCTAAAGAATTTGAGATTCTTAGTAGCATACTCAAGTCTTTGAATACTCAGATTTTGCTTAAAACTAATGTGCCAAGGGCCTTTTCTTCAACCCAACTTCTGTTCTGAGAAATACAACATACTTCAGAAATTTCAAAAGCAAACACAATGCTCTAGAAATAATTGGCAAAGGCATGACTTTAATCGGAAGTGATTGTGTTAAATTTTAGCCCAAAGTTGATTATAATAAAAGGGAAGTAGAGTTTGCATAATTTTAGGAATTCTTTATTTATTTAATATTTTTGTCATTATCATCCATTTTTAGAGTGAGAAAAATCCATTACATATACATACGTACATAACCAATTTATTTATAAGATTAGAACATTTGAATATTTCTCTCCAACTGTGTCACTCGATGAAGGCCAAATTGGATCCAAAAACTAGATTGGAGAAGAGGTAGCTGACAAAAAATGTATCAAAAAATGATATGAAAATCATGTTCATATAATCCTGAACATTGTCAAAGCATTGATCACACCAAATGGTACAATCACATACTCATAGTGATCATACCTAGTTTTAAAAGTAGTTTTTAATATGTCACTTTCCTTTATCCTTATTTGATGATATCCTGATCTCAAATCTATTTTTGCAAACACGGATGCTTCCTTAAGCTTATCCATCAAGTCATTTATCTTAAGTAATGAATATTTGTTCTTGATGGTCAATTTATTCAACTACCAGTAGTCCACACACGACTAGACACCACCGTCCTTCTTCTTAACCAACAACACTAAAGCACCCCATAGAGACACACTCGGTCTCACCATTTGTTTCTCCAACAACTCTTCTATGTGCTTCTTCAATTTTACCAACTTAACTAGAGTCATCCTATAGGAAGCTATTGATACTAGTCATATACCTAGCACCAAATCAATAGTGAACTCGACATCTCACAAGAGGTAATCTAGATACCTCATCCGAAAACACCTTTAGAAAATCCCTAACTACATCAATCTCATTGACCAACTTCTTTGACTCCACACTTATAGTAGCCAACAAAATCAAGCACTTAGCTCCTCCCTTCAATAATTCCTCAACTTGTCTAGCTGACACTAAGACCTCATTCTCCACTTGAGAAAACACCAACTTCCTTTAAGGACAATCTATATGAATGCGATTGACAGATAGTCAATCCATCCCTAAGATTATGTTGATCTCTACCATGGACAAACAAATCAAATTCACCCCATACCTCCTACTAAAAACCCCTATCGAGCATCTCACACACACCCTAGAAGCAACAACAAACAAAACAACAAGAGCAGTAATAGATAGATCAATATACAAGTCACTCATAGGCAAACCTAATCTCCCTACACAATTAACAGAGATGAAGGAATGTGTAGCTTTTGAATCAAAAAGGATCAAAACATCCTTACCAATTGCCTTGCTTGACACTTTTTATCCTACATACGTAGATAGATTTAAAACTTCTTAACACACATATAAATTAATCCAAATCAATGCATAAATAATCTAAGTGAAATCCCTAACATAGGGTAAATAGTATCATATAACAAACTCTTTAAAAAAATTTATACTAATGCAAAAAATATAAAACTAAATACAATTCTTATACTAGAAATTAAATCAAAATATCCCTAATCTAAGTTTCAATGTCACATATCTTATCAGAGCACTCTGAAGATAAGGATTAAATCTCATCACTAGCATCATCAAGATCCTGATGAACATTACCCGTAACCACATACATATAGCAAAGACGTGGAAACAAAAGAGGGTGAGAAAACTTTTCACTCTAGCTCATGGCATGAAATAAAAGATAAATAGCCAAACACAATTCATACATTATTAATATAATAACATGACAATAGCAATGGTTATCATTATCAATAGCTCACATATCTCCATCATACAATCACTTATTTATAATACATCAATTATAAATAATTTAGATGCAAGTATGGAATACAATAGACACAGATTCTTAATTTGCATGCAAATGGTACAAATCTCAAGATATGCACAATGCATATAAAACAATTTATATTTGCGTGCATATGATCCATGTTACACATACTCTTTATATCATGAAATAAATAAATATATATATATATATATAATATAATATATATATATACACTCAACAATTTGCCATTCATCAATTTTCCTCACATACAATTTGTCATATTCACAATTGTAATCAATGATACATACACTTTACCATATACACAATTTGCTAACAGGAAACAAGTATCTCATTCAAGCAATCTATCAGGCATACATATTCACTCCACATCAATATTCAAATTACTCCTAACATCCCTTAGCTATCATAAGGAACCATCATTTTATATATAGTCGATGTCTGGTGGAAATTCATTTGCGCCTGGCACAACTTGTCCAAAAAGTACTCATAACTCTCAGGATGACTTACGCTCAGAATAACCTATATGAGATAGCAGCAAGGACTCCCTTGGAACCCCCATGCCTGGTAAGGCATATCCCACACCCAACACCCAACACAAACATAAAAGGGAGTGAACCCTGCTCTTAGGCATCCTAGCACCCTGTAACACAAGTAACATCTAGTGTCATATTAAAAACTAGAAACCTACATAATCGCGATTTGCAAACAGCAAACCCAACACGTACATTTATAATTTCAATTAGTAAAACACTCTATTTTACTCATGCAATACACCATAAGATACGACTTTCACACAATTACAACTTCCAATTATTATATTTATATAATGACCATTCACTCACATATTCTTAGGGTTCTCACAAAGACCCTCAAGCAATTCAATTCATATAAAAAATGACTCAATGCATGAGATTAATCATATATGATCACAACTCATATCAATCTAAGAGCAATAGAATCACATGGAAAAATAATAAATGAGAACAGAAAACAATTGGGATTTTCCCTTTCAACATATGATATACAGTGGTTGGGAGTCAATCTTACTACCCATTAGTTACCCTACATCTTAAAGCGAGAATTCTCACTGCCCCTTACCTCTATCAGCAATAGTGAAGAAATGTGGACCTTCAGGATGATATCATCCTATTTCCTCTCCTCCTGCTTCAAAGTGTAAAAGAAAAGTGAGAGCAAATGCATCTCTCTTTTAAAATTTAAACCTAGCTTAACTTCTCTTTGACCCATCCACGATTTGTCCATCTTAATTTTGATTATAAACTCTTTCTCTCACTTAATAATAATAATAATAAAACAATAATAAATATTATATTAAAATATAATTCTCATAATTTAATCAAAATAAATATAAAATATAATTTCAACCTAAAAATACTCTCTAATATCAATCTTTTAAATTTCAACCGTTAAAGTTTTTTTTCTTTTTTTACTGAGACGAAATAAATTGTCATTAAATGGTCTAATATTCTTTATATTGATCATTGAATATTTTTACTCAACCAAATTTTAAGTGAAACAAAATATTTCCGATCAAAGGAAAACATTTATGTCACTCCCTTCTTTCTTGGGGTGTGAATATATAGGTTAAAGAAAAATAAAAATAAAAGAACAAAAGAGATAAAAAAAATGGAAAATATCGAGATATAAGAAAATGAATAAGTGAAGTGTTAAAAAAATCATAATTCACATTATATTCGCCAAACACATTTAAAAAAAAAAACGAGAGATAAAAAGAATAAAAAGATAACTGTAGACTAAGATAAATTATATGTTGAAGAACAAACTATGAAAAGAAAATTTGTGAGATCTTTAAAGGGGAAATAACTTTTTTTTTTTTTCTTCTAGAATACATTATTAAATTGGTATTTGCTCCGTGAAGTGACATTATAACATGTAAACTAATGGTACATGCTTGTTAAAAGAATAACAATTATAGTTTCGGGGACCATGTAAACAGTTACAATATTAGCAAAATTCGTCAATTAATCAACACTTGTATTTCTCTGAATATCCATCATCTAAATAGAAATCTCCGGTGGTAATTGCTGCAGTTGATATTTTTGTTGCCAACCTTCAAGTTGAACGAGATTGCACTTAACACTTTTTTTTTGAAGCTGTCAACATATATTATGATAAAATTAACGATAAATAAGCCAAAAAATGATTTTATTTTTAAGCAGCACGTAAGATCTGAGTACAGATTAGGATGAAATTTAATAGTGAATCTGAATTTAAGCATGACAAGCATTAAAGTGATCTATAGTTTGACAAATTTGAACAAAAATATTTATTTTTGCGTACTTAAATGGAACGATAAAAGTTTAACTTTCTCTCCTTTATGTGATGATGCAAAAATTAGTTACCTCAAAGACATATAAGGTCTGGAAAAGATCGTAGAACTCTTCTAACAGTTGTTTCTCTCGTGCAACAATTTTAGCTAATTCTGATAGCATTGCAGCAATCTTATCAACCTCCTGATGAAACAATATTTCGATTTCAATTTAAGTCTTCATATATAATAGCAGCAGCACTAAAAATATAGCAGTGTTAACAAACATACTGAAGATGAAAATGTAATTAAAATTGACTTGATTGAAGCTGTGAGATCAGATGCATGGCGTAGAACAATGGATGTTGATTGCATGTTCACCTGTTCCATTAGAATTATTTAGTCAATACACGTTTCCTACCTCTACTGAAACGAATGTTTCTAGCAAACCTAGTTAATTAGTTACCTACCCTAGCACCTTCCAAAAGAGGAACCCTGCAAACAACCGAATGCAAACATTCCTTGATGGAAGTAATTGCTTGTAAGTGTTGCCTTTCCAGACCACCCCAAGCTTCCAATAGTTTCATCTGCCAAAGCAACACATGAGATGGAAAATGAAATCACTGAAATAATAAGTTTAGCAAATCTTAATATATAAACTGAGATTTACTACAAACTTACTTGAGAATACAGTACAAAAGCGATTTTCATTTCAAGTTTCTCTCTGACAAACTGTATCTTCTTTTTCAGAACAGATTGCCGTAACTTTGTAAGACCATCCCAAACACATATCAAATTGCTCTAAACACATTCACAAATCAAGAGACCATCAATTCTTCATTTCTCATTCGTTATATATCAGATAATATTGAGGGAAATTATAAAGTGTGATGCATACACCCGACTCATATATAAACAACATATCTAAGGAGTTTTGTTTCTCTTAACAAACTTGTCTATAAGTGCGAAATATTCACTGTGAAAAGCAGTGATTAAAATATATTGATGCATGCATACCTGAGCCTTGTGAGAAATGTTTGCACTGACAACGTGTGCCCTAGCATTAGCAAACCGCCATTGCATGAAACGATTATCAAGCAAGCGAAGGTTATGAGCAACCTCGGAGTTATAAACTCCAAAAGAAATGTTTGGCGAAGAGGTAACCCCACTTTTCTTACCCTTGAAGAGATCAAAACCCATGTTGAGAAACCCTTTGGCCTTGGTAGGACTTGTGACTTGGTGCTTGAAGCTCGAAAACGACATCGGTTTATCCATGCTCTCAACCGACATAGCCGGTGACTCGGACCTCCCTGGAGACAAAGCCCACCAAGACTTGGAACTCTTGTACGATCCAGTTCTCAGCGTGAACCGTTTCAAAACGGAGAAATCTCCACCGTTCAAGTTCGCCACGTCGGAATCCGAAGTTCCTCTCCGAGCCCTTCCTTTTCTCTCCACGTCAGGTTTTGATTCAAGAGAGTTTCTCCGCGAGGAGAAGGGTTTAGCGTTCTCATCAAATGACAATCTTCCCGGAACAATGCTATAGGGTTTCTTAGAAGAAGAAGAAGAAGAAAATGGTGATTCTGCCGTTGTTGTTGCCACGTGTCTCGGGGAACCGTTGGTGTGATCTATGATTCTGTCTTGGGTGATGTGGTCGGCGAGGGTGCCGGAGTTTCGCTTGGCAGTGGCGGAGGAAGGCCATAGTTGGTGGCGCGTGAGGCCCGGCTCCTCCGTGGGACGGTGACTTTTGGCGGGGCTCGACGATTTGCGACGGAGCGGGGAATGGCATTCGGAGGAGTGTGTCGTTGAGTTGGGAGGGGAATGAAGAAAGCGTGAAGTGGGTTCGCGGTTTCGGTGCTGACGAGGTTTCGGAGACGGACTAGAAACCGGCGAGGCATTTGGCGTTTTCATGGGAAGGTGTTGGAGGCGTGATTTTGGGATGTTGCATTTGCATGTAAATAGCATGAGTTGACGCTTCCAAATGGCGCGGGAAATTATGTTAATAATGTTGCGCCGGCATGGGTGAAATTACTTGATTGACCTTCTCATTAATACTTACAGTAATCATAGCCGAGAATTCGGTTCTTCGTGTTTGAAGAGTGAAGAATGAAGAATCTCTAATAGTGTGCCACATGTTTCAAAATTCTTCAAAGTTGAAATGAAATGGCCTTTTACTCTCATGCTTTCTGTTTGGTTGGTTTGAATTGAAGTTTTTATTTTATTTTATTTTTTTAAGTAATGTTGTATGATGTGACCTACCCGGATCAATCAAAATATTAAAAGAAAGTTATATAAACTAATCCATGGCTATGGCCAGGCCAACTTGTGTCCCATGAGCAGAGTGATGATTGATGAATTCATCTTCCTCTTTACTTTTTTTTACCCAGGAGAGAAGAAGAAAAATAAAGACAGTGAAGGTAAGTGTGCGAAAAAAAAACGGAAAATAAAATAGTGGAATGTATCTTAGACATCTTGTACCTTAACAATGACTTTAATCTACGGCTGTAATTTGAGCCTCAAATATTTTGGGCCGAGACAGAATATTAGTATAAGTGTGTTTGGTTGTGGGTGCTGTGAACAAAGAGTATTTATATTTGATGATGAAAGATTGATCATGCACTATGCAGGCGGGTTCCAGAACTACTGTAAACAAAAAATAAATAGTTTTCGATGTAAGCTGATGATATTTTTCTTCTAATATTTATAGTTTTACAATAATTAAATCATCGATGATTTAATTTGTGGATTATCACAAACATTTGAAACAACTTATAACAATTATTTTAACTTAATGAGTGATCTTAAATTTAAGTTTTGAATACGTAACTGTATTAAATTTTTAGAATAAGGCCTTTGTCCTTTATAGTTTAGCTAAAATAAATCAAGAAACTCTTGCGCTATCAACTACTTATTGAATCAAGAAAAAAAAATCTGAAATAAAATAATATTTTTTTCAAATACATAATTACCATTAAAGATATTTTAAATTACTTCTCCGAAAGACCAAACCACACTTAATATTTTCTTCTGCAATGTATATCAAAATCAGCTAAAAGCCTTTCGAAAAGCTAATACAAACAAGATCTGCCCTCAAGGCATTACAAATGAAAAGTGTGGAGGGACTACTAACAAAAGTTTGAAATAATTGCTACAACACCAAGAGACAAAAGATAATTGCCACATTTTGATTGTTTACTACCGTGAAATTTAAAATCCAGCTATGTTATATTAAAAAGAATGTATAAATATAGTAAATTAAATAGTATTCCTTCCATTTTTTTTTCATAGTCGTTTTGTCAAATTTTTTTATTATTATCACTTTTCTAAAATCAATGATTTATTAATTTTTTTTTCCATTTTTACTCTTGATAATTAATGCATGTTTACTGAATAATGTGTCTATTTATTTTCTAATGTACCTATTTCTTCTCCAACCACCTAAAGGGTATAACAGGAAAATATGTAATAAATACTTTAAAAAATTAAAATATCAATCATTGTCTTAGTTCTTGTGCATAACGTTAAAGGCAATGAAAAAAAAATAGAGGGAGTGAGTTATTAGGTATCAACTCAAAACAATTTGTAAAACATGAGAAATTTGTTTATGGGAATAATACAATCACATTTAAATAACGTGTCACTCTTCATTTCTTGACGATAGAAGTTATAAGTTTGAAAGATAAAAATGTGGGAAATGGTAGAGGCACCTTTGGAGAGGTAGATGAGAGCAAGAGTTGGCATGTGTATGGTGGATCGGTCCAATCCTGAGTTTAGAATGACTGGGCAAACAACCTTTAGATTGAACAAAATATAAATGCAATGCAAATTTATTCCCTTTGACCAAATATAGAAATCTATAATAAGCCAAGAAGCAATTTTATTCTTTCGTTGCTCGTTCTTACCATATAAGCTTCCTCTTAACGTAACATTCTAACTTTGTCATACAACACTTGCACCTTTTAAATAGTTCCCCCCTTAAACAAAGTGATGAAATGGACTGAAAATGATAAATGAATACGACAAAAATGAAGTCATGGTAAACGTATTTTTAATTCTCCAAAAATCGATCCCCATTAAATGAATGAAATAATATTACTAAACTACCCTTTCTTAAAAACAATCAAGTGCATAAAAATGTTACGAGAAGATTTGTACCTTCACTGCCTAGTAAAATTTTCTTTTCATTTATATCATCACCCCAAGCAGAAAACAAAATCTTTTAATTCCTTATTTTTATTTCTTCTTTTTCTTTATTTCTATTTTCTAAGAATATTTTTAAAGAAAAGACAAATATGCATCGATGACCAACATTACATTGGTTCAAATATAGCTCAATTCAAAGCATTTAACCGCCATGCTGAACACGTGCTACTTTGAATTAACAATCATAGATTTTATTAATAAGCTAAACCAGATCTTTGGAATATTGATATGAGGTACAAAATATCCGTAACATACTTGTACACAAGCATGCGAGAGAAACATTCTCCATAAAGGACAACAAATGCAACTGGAATCTGTTTCTGAAATAAATAAACTAGGTAGTTTTGTGATACATGAGAACTATAATGACAGTAATTTCTTTTGAAAAAATGGCAACAAGAATAGCAGGATAAAGTTTCAGCAAATGAATGCCATGGGAAAGAACATCTGGTCTTGCACAGGACAGTAGTGAACAATAAACAGTTTGCAGCTGATCTCATCCTTTGACTACACTTAAAAACTATGAACTGATATAGTCTAATACGTGACAAATAAACATCTATATGCTACAACAGAAGATCCAGATTCAATGAAGGCACCAAGTTAAAGCCACCACACATGCTTGACCATTTAAAATTGTACAAGCATTTCTGACTACGAATTAAGACCTCAATTTGCATCTCCAGTGGGGATCACCAAGCCTACCAGTTCCATAAACAGCTAGTGACACATTCTCCTACCCCAACAATAGGGGCTACTACTTCTGAATCTGAATCTTCCACCAAGGTTTCAAGTATTCAAAATCAATGAAAGTTACACTGTTGCAATAACGGATGAGAGTATTCAACATATTTTTCCCATAAAGGCTTGTACTTCTCAATCCCAATCTTCAACCATGGTTTGGAGTTCCCATTGAAGTGAAGTACAGCTCCTCTCTCTATTAACTGAGGATCAACATTGGTGTAGCCAAAACCCAAAACATGCCATGATGGATCCAAGGGTTCAGTTAATCCATAAAATGTCAATAATCCAGGAGGCAAGGTACCGAGTTTCCACAATGTCCGGTCTACATTCTTTTCCTGCCAGTAGTGGTAGATGCCAGTTACATTCTTTTTCCTCCATTCAACCAAATCAAACACATTCATCCCAAATGCCCAACCGCAAGCATCAGGATCAAAATGTGTGCGTATAAGAGGATGGGAATAGTTCAAGTATTTGTGGTATCTGTGAAATGTTTCCATGCATGTTTCAACAGCTCCATTTACATTCCCATTCAAATCAATGGAGAAAAGACCAGAAAGATCCTTCTGAACCACAACATCATCGTCGAGGAACACCACCTTCTTTAGTGCAGGAAAAACTTCAGGGATGTAGAATCTCAGGTGATTAAGCATGGAAAGATATTTAGGGTTTCGGAACTTGATAGGTGTCCTTCCCTCATCACTATTGCCAGAAAAGTAGTAGCTCTGTATTTCTGAATCTTGAAGTTGCTTGAGCACAGGAACATATGAAGCATTTAACCAACTAAAGTCTTCAAACTTCTGAACTTCAACTGTCACCCCACGGAAATCATTCATAGTGAACCATGCCTTCATTGCAGCATAGTTTATTTCATCAGTGACAAGGTGGAAAACAATCATATTAGGGTTTTTTGAATTCATTGCAGTTGAATTGACCACAACTGAAGTTGCAAGAATGTTATCAGAGAAAACACAAAAGTGGTAAAGATTGTTATCCTTAAGCTTCATCTCCACATGCCTTTTGTCCTTCAATTTCTTTTGCAAATTAAAGTTTTTGAACCATTCTGTTGTCAACCGGACACCAAGACAATACAGGCTTTTTGGGACTTCTTCAGCAGCTATTTGTCCATATTTTGAACTCTTTTCACTAACAGAATTCATCTGTTCCTCAAGAGCTTGAATCTTTGCTTTGAATCTCATGATCATGTTTGCACTATCATAATGGAGCTGCTGGGCCTGGTATAACAATAATGCCATATCATGGATAGCCCTATCTGTTTCCCTGGTTGTTAAAGGAACACGCCTAGTGGCAGCATTTGAGAGGAGCATCTGCGAATTGTGGATCTGGGCACTTAATTCCCAAGCAAATTGGAGATTGTTACTTTCTTTTGCAATTACAACAAAAGCTTTTGCCAGGGATATCTGATCATTAAGTTGTCTTGTGACTGAGTTAGAGCTTAACATCTCTTCAGTAATATTAAGGCTTTCCATAATCTTATCATGCTTGTAAGGTCTCTGAATAACAGGATACAAGTTATTATTAGTTAAAAAAGGATGACAAGGACCTAATCTACACTCACCATCCCCATTAATAATAATATAATATTCTGATTTTGTAATATAAAATAAAGCATGCCATGTAAGCTGCATTTAATAACTTATCAAGTTCAAGTATTGTTTTCATGATCCACGCATTATCCTTTCTGGAAAAAGATGACCATTCCGTTACAGTTCTAATATTAGGGGGAAAAAAGTATAATAAATACCTTTATAGATTAGGGAAATGGTTTTTCTCTGTAATAAGAATATGAAATGTAAGTGAAAACTACGGCAAGAGCAACATCTGCAAAAATCACTATTCTGCCTATTGCAAAACAAGATTTAAGCTTTTCCTATAATTATAGTAATTATAAACAAATAACAACAATGTGAGCATAGGGTAGTAGCATGGTATCGGTACGGACAAGGATCCTCTCCAGTGAAGAAAAAAATTGGGATGGTGAAGTGTGATTATCTCACTCTTAATTTTTAAAAAATATTTAATTTGTAATAAAAATATACTATTTTAATAAAATTGATTGAATGGTTAGAATTTCATTCAATGATAATGTTACTAGAGATTTCCCAACATGGCATGGATTAAAATCCAATGAACTTCCAAAATCAATGTCAGTGAATTGTGCAGGTGTTGATGTCTAATAAAATCAGCAGTTTAAAACATCAGATCTAGCATACCACTGCAATTCCAAATTAATAAGCATTCAAGTTCTGATTGATGTAAAAAAAAAAAAAAAGTATGTAGTGTGCGACTGTTACTGAATGGAAACATACAAATGTTTTTTATTCAATCTAGCACTTGATTCGACTCATCCCTAAACTTCCGATATACAATACAGAAAAAACACAAAAAAGAGCAGTCAATACTGTCTAAACACAAAAATCTGACATAGTCGAAATTTGCCCCCCATTATATACCTGAATGATGAACCAATCTCATAAACCGAGATAACCTTTCTCCTATACAGATTATATTAGGCATGCATCAACCAAATGAGCCCAAGAACAAAAAATTACAAACAACCATCCCATGAATTACAAAACAACCCCCCTTTCACATCCCCAAGAATGAAAAATTATCCAAAGCAAAGCAGTGGAAAAGCCAAATCACACAACCTCCTTGACACACACAATTCCAAAATCTCAAAATCAGTTTCCAGCATCATATTGACAAAACCAAAGCACAACAATCACTCATTCACCCCAAAATAAAACACACTGTTTCATTTGGCACATTTTTTGCAGCACCCCAGAAGGACAAATCTATGAAAAATTGAAAAGCAAATGGTTAAAACATTACCTTTGTCAAAGCGGGTCTGGACTCAATTTTGTTCCCTTTGCTGAGAATATAGACAAAGAGAAGAATCACTGCACAGCACAATGCCCACCACAACGCATCTGGAACCCTCCTACGCACTGGCCTACGAAAATCCGTCGTTCTTCGCCTCATCTCCCAACTTTCTCCAAACCCCAATTGCGCCCTTCCTTCACTTATTTTCCCGGAAACCGTTTTCCGGGAAAGCAATGCTCAGAGCAAAACAAAAAACAATACTTCTGGATCACAAAGGTATACCCGAGATCTGAAGTTTCCGGATTTGGAATATCAGGGGCCAAAAGATTCAGACTTGGAATAAATATTTGGCTTTGCTTTGGTGGGCATGCGCTCGTGAAGTGCTTCGTGAGCACTACAGTATGCTTAAGGAGGAAATGAATGGAAGTGGCTTCATGTTACGCAGTTCTTTTTTGGCACTTCATTTTCAGTGACATTGACAAACGGTCCTGATCGTGCCATGTCAGCTTGTGATTAAGGCTTCGATGACCCATTAAGAATGGTCGGTTCTCAATTTTGCGTTGTCTTCTCAAACTCAATGAGATCAGAAACAAACCACTAACCAGCCAGAAAGAGAATATATATATAAAATGGTGTTTTATTCTGAGGTAGATTACAACATAACTACATAACATACGGGAAAACAATAGTACTAAAACATTGTAAATGTAAGTTTTTTGTGTATTAAAATCTCTATCTTGTTTTATTAACATTTCTTGGGTTGGTTCTTCCGTCGTTAATATGACAAAATCGGGGAATTGGGCAATTTATTGTTCACATTTAATTTTCATTTGATACGTCAATTGCACAAAGTATTTGAGTTTAACACGCAACATTATCAATAACCTTTTCTTTTCCCTCAATATAGGTAATAGGTTCGTGGTAACTGTGTTCTTTTATAGTAAAAGTATTGAGCAATTAAAACATACTAAAAATCGTAATTTTTTCCTTGTTGAAAGTGAAACAATTTTCATAATAGTAATACATTAAGAGAATGGTACATTACATGGATGAACATGATACGATTTTCACTGAATTTATATTATTTTTTATCTTATGTGATTAAATTTAATTGGACCTCTTTGGATTGAATTTTTGAATGTTTATTTCTCAATTTGAAAGAATAAATTCGATTTTGATTATATTAATTTCAATCCGATTATTGAACTTATCATTTAAAAAAAATAAGGTGAAACATGTCATTTTAGTTGTTGTAAGTTTTCAATTTGATTTTTATATGTAAAAATTTATTAAATTTGTCTCTATACTTATTAAATGTTATCAAGTTGATTTTTAACATTAACTTCATTACACATTATTAATTTAATTCTTATATATGTAACACTCTTAATTTCATTTTTACACATGTAATATATTATTGATTTGGTTCTTACATATTGAGATCAAATGTATTAATCTTATAGTGACCAAATTAAGAATGGCTATATGTATAAAAAAAAAAAAAAAACAAAAAAACAAAAAAAAAAAAAACAACAACAACAAATTAAGAATATGTGGAGGAATTAATAGTTTCAAGGACTAAATAAATAACATTTATATGCATAGGAACCAATTTAATATTTTTTTTATACATAGGAACCAAATTGAGAATCCACAACATTTATATGGACTAAATTCTATATTCAATAAAAAAAATAAATCAATCTTATATTCATTCTCATATAATATAATATGAGTAACTATAACAAACATACACATAAACTCTAACCCTGAGAAGAGAATAAAAATATAATATTATAAAAATTGTGTTGAATTGTGGGATTTGGCTAGATTGATGTGTTATAACATTAACAATGAGTATAAAGTTTTACTAAACTTTTAGTCCAAATTCTAAACATTTTTTATCCATAAATTTTAAATCTTTATAAAAATATAGGAAACAACAATATATAATAATTGATTAATTTGAATCAAAATGAATTGGATTTTTATAAGAGATAAATAAATTTCTTTAGTTATCTAATTTTTAACATTAAATTTTGTATTCTAATTAAAACTTATTGGATTTGCATTCTATTTTCAACCTAATATGAATGAATCCAAATTTTTGGGTTTAGATTGATTTATGTTCATCAATTTTTTGGACTGATTTGGATTCATGGCCACTCTTACTACTTTTTTTTTGTTCATAAATATAGTATCCCAAAAAAGCTGATAAACAATTAATAATTTGTGCTCAAGGGTAGTACTCCTAGTATATTATCTCATAAGTAAATGTTTAAATGAAAAATTAATATTAAGTAAAGATTGTGAAAATTTTAACACTAAAAATGTGTTTGCAAAAGTTGTGAAAATCATTTTATTTAGATAATTGATTATATGAATTATTGATTATTCCTATAATTAATTATAATCAAAATGAATTAACTTTTTTTAGGTGTAAATCAAAATAAATTTTTGTTGGAACAAATTTATTAAAAAAAATGATTTGAAAATGTTTAATTTGGTTTGAATACAATAAAAAATAGTTTTTACATAGTATATTAACTTAAAAAATTATTAATAAATATTCATAAATTTCAAATCTTCAACTTCATAAAAATATCTTACTTTTAAAAAATATATTTATAAATTTAAAGGTTAAAACTCTTATTTAGTCCTTTATAATATTTTTTTGTTTCAATTTAGTCCTATTTAATTTTTGGTTTTAATTTGGTCCCCAATAATTTAAATTATTGCAATTTGGGACTTCTGTCCAAATGATTTAAACGGAGTTAACTGGTGGCCACGTGGATGTCAGGTAGATGCCACGTAGATGCGTAGGTGGATGTCAAATTTCTTGAATACACCTAGAACCAGAACGATCCGTTCTGAAACCAGAACGACCCGTTCTGGTTACACTCTTGGTATGTTAAGTTTGTACCTAGAACGGGCCGTTCCAGATGCAAAATTAACACACCAATAATGTAACCAGAACGGGTTGTTCGGGTTTCAGAACGGACCATTCTGATTCCATAATTTCACGAAAAAAAACCCAAGATAAAAAGCATTTCAAACACTAGATTTGGTAATATTGTCAATGGAGATTGATAACTTCAATTGCTAAACATTTGGGTTATATAGTGTATTATTAAGGGCGATGTAGTGTATCACTAAGGACAATAGTAGCAGGTGTTATTTCATTGTTAGTCAAACTGGAGTGAACCACTTACTACCAAATTGACACTATACAATCAAATATGAAACAAAACGGTATTTTCCCTTGAAGTCATTGACGATGTTCCCCAATAATAACAACCTGTTCTTAAGGAGGTACAACCTGAATTTTTATAGTTTAGGGTTTCCCTTCAGCGTTACCTAGATGATTTCCTTTCTCAATAATTTCTTTGAATTTTTTTAGTATATGTTATGTTCTGAATTTTTGTTTTCAGTTTCTGTCTTTGAATTTATGACATGAATTTTTATTTTTAATTTTTGAATTACATTGCGGTATTTTGGTCAACGCATGCATGAAGTTGAGATTTTAGAACGGGCTGTTCTAAATCTAGAACGGTTCGTTCTAACAGTAGAACGACCCGTTCTGGTTTCAGAACAGCTCGTTCTATTGCACTCATGTTGTGTTAAATTTGCATTCGGAACGTCTCGTTCCAGTTGTAAAATTAACACATAACATGTGCAAGCAGAACAGGTCGTTCTGGTTTCAGAATGGGTCATTCTGGTTCCAGGTGTATTCATGAAATTTGACATCCACCTATGCATCTACGTGACATCCACCTAGCATCCACCTGGCCAACAGTTAACTATGTTTAAATCATTTGGACGGAAGTCCCAAATTGAAATAATTTAAATTATTGGGGACCAAATTGAAACCAAAAATTAAAGTGAGACTAAATTAAAAAAAAATATTACAAGGGACCAAAGATTTGAACTAAATTTAAATTATTATTTCAAATATACCATTTATTTTTTATACAACTTTTTTTTTAAAAAAAAAGAGGTAAAGTAAAGCATTATAATCAATTCCAGGCACACTCTAATTATCAGCTGAAATAAAGATAATTTCATACAGTTGGTATTTGTCCGTCAATAATTATCAGCAGTCTAATAATGTACATGTTAATCCTTAGTAGTTCAATGTAAACTAATTTATTAACCGTGTGTGTTTTGAAGGTGTATTCACTAAAATCAATTCAGTTTTTTCATGTTAAAAATGAAGCAGTTCTTAATCACTTAAAAATCTGCATTTTTTTTATGTGTAGTATGTGGTTTCGACACAAAACTAAACAAATTGATAATTTCACTTTTATAGAATGAATATAAAAATAAAATAAGCAATTTGAATAAAAATCCAATTTAACCATTTAAACGAATTCATTTTAATAAGAATTTTCAACGCATAATTGATTGTTAATATAGGCATTAAAAAATTACGGTTTAAATATATTTTTATCCCTTAATTCTTAAATTTAAGATAAATTTATTTTTTAATTTAAAATTAATTCTTTTTATGTGTATAAGTTCTAAATATCTTATTTTAGTATTTTTAAAATTTGTTAAAAAATATGTTAAATATTATCACATAAAATCTATATTGATGTCTTTATTAATGAAAACATCGTATTAAATCCAGTTGATATCGTATAAATGTCATAACTTTTATATATGTTATTGGTAACCTAAGAGATTAAAATTTTTAAAAATTATTAGAATTAAAAATTATAATTTTAAATTTCAAAAATTAAAAAATATTTATCCTAAAATTGATAGACTAAAAATATATTTAAGATAAAAAAATATTTATTATTTACAATTTTTTTACGTAATCATGTTTTTATTTTTTAATCATGATATTAATATAAAGTTAAAATATTTATTCTACAATTTCTCACCTAAATTCGACACATGAATTCCTACCTTAAAAATTTTTATTTTTGCAGGTTTGATGTTCAAAATGTCTTTATAACAAATGGCTTTATAGGTTGGAATAGTGCATTATATCCTTCGGTCACTCAGCTATACCAAAAGTAGAAAGAATTAGTAATGAAATGTACGTGGGATTTATTATCACCAAAAATAATAATGTACATCTTATATGTGGTTTTATGAATTAATCTACATATAAATCAATGGGACAATTTTAGTGATATTAGTGAAAGTTTGGATAGAATACACAATTATAAATTCAAATTTTATTGTTATTATGTAAATTTTATGGATAAAAAAATAGTAACACATTTTTATTTAATATAACTTCAAAGCAAAGATAAAAAAGATAAAAGACAATTTTTATTATTTAACAATTAAACCAAATTTACAATGTTAAGTACAAATAAGTTTGACACAAAAATGAAATAATTTTAATTTTTACTTTATCTCCTTTGCTTAAAAATTAATATTATACATGTTTTTATTATAAATTTGTTGACATTGTCATGATTATTGTGTTCGAAGTATTATTTGTTTTAACATTTATTGAGTTGTCACGGTTTTATGTTTGAAAAGACATTTTAATGTGTTAAACAATGAATGTATTTATAAATTATCTTTAGTCTCGATTCTTAAATAATATGAGACTTTTAGGTATATCAAAACAAACTTTTCAATC